TACACTACTCATCAAGTCATGCTGTGGAGGCATCAAAAAAAAAAAAAAAAAAAAAGAGGCAACAGGTGTTAGCTTAGGGCAACTCTTTCTCACTAAAAAAAAAACCCTTTACTTTTTATGTTTGATAGCCCTTCATCAACATTTGTAATATAATCATATTTTAATAAATTATACTCATATCTCAGTCCAGACTTTTTTTTAACACTTAGAGTCTTATGGTCACGGGAACTACATGATTTTTAAAAATTTAATTTCAATTTATATACATATTCATGATGCAGGATGATGACTTTTAAGAATAAACATATTAGGATAAAATTCAGTAGGCTACATGGAATCTGAAACTTGAGTTCAAAGAAAAAACAACATAAAACTTCTGACTATTTAAGAAAAATTTGTTCATGTATTTTTAAAATGGATAATGGTAAATAAAAATTCACATTGTTTAGGTACATCTAAAAGAAGGATGTCATCATTTTGTTGAAAATTGCCAGATTTATTACATGTTAAAAATTACATGCTTTGCAATTTATGATGAAAATTTTAGATATGTCAACTAGATGTGTGAGGATGATGTATATTTCTCAAAAACCTGTTGGAGGTATGCAAGCAAAAAGTTTGAACGCTGTTGCACTAGAGGACTAATGGGGTCAAGCAGGGTACGGGGTGGGGGCTGCTCTGGGCTGACACTGGCTCAGCCTTCAGGAAACTGGGTGCCAGGGACTGAGGGTCCTGTGCAGCCTGGTTCAGCGGCCCCACACAGGGAAGCAGGCACGATCCTCCGGGGATGAACCACGGTGCTCAGAGGAGGACCTGCAGCATCACCCAGCAAACCCACCAGCAAGTTGGCCCAGAAGGCAAGAACAGGCACTGAGGCAGAACTCAGCCCAGGTGCGCGCCCAGCTGTCTGAGCACCAGCAGGCTCGGGACAGTGCGGTGGCTACAAAGGAGCAGGGACGAAAACACCCCTGTGGGGCTCTGAGAGATCAGGGCAGTGGATCCAGAGCTGGGCTGAGGGCTGGGGGTCACGAAGAGGCTGGGAGCCTGGAGATCTGGAGTCACCAGCAGGCTCTTGGAGCCCGCTCTGCCATTCACTACCTGTGTGAGCTTGGGTACCTCTCTTGACCTCTGTAAAACCGTTTCCTTCCCAAGGGGTTCAGCTGAAATGCTTTGAGCATGCAGCATGGTGTAAAAGGACTCAGTAAACGCCAGTGCTTGTCATTTTCATCATCATCACGGCAGCTCAGTGTCCTCCCACAACTCCCTGGGCCTTTCATTCTCTCTCACGTCCCACCACTCACTATATCAGACAAAGAAGTCTAAACACGCTGAAAAAATGCAGCCATTTTACTTTCCAGAAGAAAATTCTATATACAATCATTCTGTTATTACATTTGTATTACGTTTGAAAGGGCAATAACCCATGTTTCCCCAACTTCAAGCATTTGTATATAATTATTTGCACACTGTCTTCACAATTTTTTGCTATCTCTGGTAACACCTGCTGTTATTCACTGAATATTTTTCTCTAAATGTTCTCACTTTTTAAAACTTAGATAAATCTATTTTAAAAGGAAGTTATTTACCTATCAGAAACGAAAAAAAAAGTATGACTTGGCATGCATAAAAGGCAACTGCAAAATGTACGTAAGAGGGATGATTAGATTCTGAACCTAATTCTGAGCCCAGGCCAGCTGTTTAGTTATAAAGGAGATTGGCAGGTGTTAAACAGGTGTCAAGGGCACATTAGCACCCGACTGAGACTCTCCCCTTCAAGTTGTCAGAGAGATTAAAGAAGAACTGAAATGGGATGACCTCAGGATGTGTGATTCAATTTCACAGTTGACTGTCTAGGACCTAATATCACCTTTTGTACCCCAGGGCTACGTGTCCTATCCTTCAGGAAACACGGGCACAAACTCTTGCGAGAATGAACTGGGAATGAACTAAAATATGAATTCTTGGTCAAGGCTGAGATCACCTGGGTCCTACCAACTGACCAGTAAAGCACTGCAGCCTGAAGCTTCACACCACCACCTGCATCAACACCCAGAGGCGGCCCTGTCCACAGGCGCCAAAATCAAGACACCATTCAAATCAAACAGGTTGGCAACATTTCTCCAGGGCGACTTTCTTACTAGTTTTGGCTCTGACTTCTTTTTCTTCTTAACTTCTATAATCAAAATAAGGTGGGTTTGTAATGCTACAGAGGATCCCAGGACAGGACAATCCAGATCTGCGCTGTCTAATATGGTAGCTGCTAGCTCCCTATGGCTATTTAAATTTACACTGAGAGTAATGAAAATTAACAATCCATTTCTTCCAACTAAGCACCTTTCAAATGCCCTGTGGCCACACGGGGCTAGTGGCTCCTGCACTGGCTGGCACGGTTACAGAACATTTCCATCGCTGCAGAAAGTTTTGCCAGGAAGTGCTGGCCTAGAACATGGCCATTTCCCAACGGAGAGACTGTAATGCAGCAGCTGCCACCTGGCACAGCCCCACAGCTGGCAGAGAACCCCAACTCTTCAGCCAGGACTCTCAATTCATTATCATGGCCCCATTAAGGAGCAACATTTCAAATTAGAGCTGATGGGTCAAACCTGGGCCCCGCCTCAGCATCCTCAGAGCTCACGTGCACTCTGCACTCCTCCCTCAGATGCTGTGTGTCTCTCAGCTCTGTTTAGGGCATCTCTACCTCTCTGAGTCACACTGTTTCCCACCTGTACCTGAGCCAAGCTGGGTTTGAGTGTTGCAAGCGGCAGGCAGCCTGTGTTCGCTGGGCACCAGGCATTTGAAGGGTATTCTTGCCAAGAGGTGTCACTGACCCCCTCCAGAGGGGACAGGGTCAGGTTACCGTCTAGGGATAACCGTGCTTGGAAAGACTTACATCAGTGATGCTTTGGATAATTTCAAAACGGGACACATTTTCATCCCACTGCTCTCTTAGGCTCCCAGCAACTGGCTTTATGCAGTCCCACACCTTCTCTGGTGTCCCCTTCACAATGCCTTCTCCTCGGTACCTGGAGCACAAAAAAGAATGTGACCCCAAGGCATCAATCCAACTTGTTTATCATCCTGGGATTATATATGAGGACTAGATGCCGTGTCCATCATCCCTCGTTAGGACAGCCTTCCAGAGAAGGGGCTGAAATTCACCAGCCCACCTTCCCTCAGGCCTGCAGGAATGGATGGTAAGTTTTCACAAGAATATGGTTTGCTGGAAATGATTTAGTTAAGAACAGAAGCTTTTCTGGGGGATAACTGGAGAGTTGATTCCAGGGTGCTAGGGTTGATCGGAATCTTTTAGGAAGCAAAAGCACAGAGATGTCAGGAAGGGCTCGGCACCTCTGACAAGCTTTGAACAAGGTGTACACTTACAGATTCCCTGGAAACTCCACAGATGGCCTCCAGGAAACTGAAACTCCGTTCTGTCAAAAGGCACAGAATCGCAGAATTTTAGAGCTAGAAGGGCTCTGGGAGATCGCCTGGCCCAGCCCCCCGTTCCACGGAAGAGCAGCCGAGAGCCTCACGAGACGGGATTCTCCGAGGTGACCCCCTGACATGTGGCGGAGCGAGGACCAGTCCTGGACAAAGCTGCCCCAGGAGAACGGGATGGAGAAAGGGGCCCTAACTCGCTGACTCCCAACAGTTCTGGGTGGTTTTCCAAACAACTTAAAAGCCACTATGCATTTTGTTTCCTCCAGCAATTTAGGTGTATTTGTTAAAAATCAGAAGTTTCAAGTGAGCAAAACTATTCCCATGCCCCCCTCCCAGGAACGCAAAGAAAGGTGCTCCTGCTATGATGACGGAGCGAAGACTTCGGAGCCCGGTTTCCGGCTCCAATCCCAACCACCATTTACCAGCCGGTAACCTTGCGCACGTCCTTCAATGAAAGGGACGGCTACTTACCTCCCGGGGTCATCGTGTGCACACCGCGCCCAATACTTTTTAAGGAAACAACCCCTAATGGAATCGCCTCCTCAACCCAGCTCCGGAGGTTGGCGTGCAGAAAACAGCGGGGAGAGGAGGAGCCTGGGGGCTTCAGGGACGCCGGACCCAGGCAGCAAAGGCCCCGTGACCCCTTCCCGCCCACTTCCTCACTCACGCCTTCCCGGCAGATCTTCCAGCCTGACTTGTCTCGCCGGTACTGGAGCACCTTCTCGGCCACCGCCTCGCTTATCTGCGCGGCCAGCGCCGGGTCCATGGCGCCGAGAGCTGCGCGGGGCCGCAGGGATGCCGGAGGGATGAGCGGCGGCGGCCCGCACCTGGATCACGGCGGCCGGAAAGCCCGGGCCGGGCGGGGCCCGGAGCCCCGCTCCTAGCCCCGCCCCGGCCCCGGATTGGCCCGGGCCGTCAGGCGGGCCCCGCCCCGCTCTGAGATTGGCAGGGACGAAGGTCCCGGGATCAGGCTCCGCAGGAGGCGTCACAGCCGGGCCGGCCCAAGGCGCGCCCTGAACGGTCGTGCGGGGTCCGCCTCCCGCCCGGCCGGCTCTGGGCGGGGCCCTGGGGCGCCTGCGCTCGGCGAGGGCCCGCAGTGGAGAGCCAGGTGGGCCAGGCCGGGTTACGGACAACGTCCTAGGATTGCGTAGGGACCTCGGACTTTTGCCCGAAGTGCACAGAGCCTTCAGCCAGACTTGCAGCAGAAATAACCTTCCGGGCGGCGGTGGCAGGAGTGGGAGAGGGGGTGGAGACTGGGAGGCCGGTTAGGAGACTGCCCCGATAGTGGAGCGACGGGGGCGGCCTGGAGCAGGGGGTGGGCGGTGGGGGTGGAGAGAGGAGCACCCATCGTAGAGGATTCAGAAGATATCTGCGGCGATGTGGAGGCGGCAGGAGGAGGAAGCATCAGGACTCCCACCTTCTGGCTTGGCCCCTGGTGGCTTAGCTGGGATGGAGAAGGGACAGGCTTGAGGGAGAACAGGAGTGTTCAGTTCTGGGCGTGTGTAGTTGGAGGTGCCTGAAAGACCTCCCGGTGGAGATGGACGGGAGGCGGCTGGGAGAGACCTAGGCTCTAGATGAGAGGGCGGAGTTCTCTGCACCCAGGTGGCCTCCAGTTTGGGGAGTGGCTGGGGTCACATCCCCCGAATGTGAATGGCAAAGGCAGCCGCGGTTTCCTCCTCTTCAGCGCTGTAACCAACTAAATATTTGAAAAGGGCAACACTGAGTTCTGTTTGTTTTCTATTTTGTGTGCTTATTGTTTCCTTTAAAGGTTTTAAAAAATGGTGTAAACGAAGTGACTACTTGAAAACCCTTTTTGGAAGATGTGTTGGGCCGGCAAGTTGTAAAGCCCTGGATGGGGAATTAGGGAGTCCAAGTTCTAGACCCAGTTTCACCACTATTCCCTGTGTGGTTTTGGGCAAGTCACTCTCTGAGCCTCAGTTTGCTCCAAGATGAAATGGGACAATAATAAATGTCTTCCTGTGCCATTGTGATGGGCAAGTGAAGTAATGCATGTGAATATTCCTAGGAGTCATAAAAGACCAATAAGTTAACCACATTTAAAAAATTAAGCACATCAAAAATATCATAAAAAGTCGGATAATAATCTGAGGGAAAAATTGGAGCATATTTTAACTAAAAGTAAGTTTTCTTAATGTGCAAAGTGCTCTTACAAATGATTAAGAGATTTTTGAACAGCCCAACAGACAAAAAGAATGCATCAGACATGAACAGACACTTTGCAGAAAAATAAATTGACATGGCTAATAAAGATAAGAAAAGATGCAGAACGTCCCTCATAGTTAGGGATTTACAAATCAAAACAAGCGGGCACTTTTTACACCCATCTGATGGGAAAATATGAAGAAGTTTGTTAATTCCGTGTGTTGGTGAATGTATGGAGAAACAGTTGTTTTATACACTGTGGGTGAAAGTGTAAATTTATGTGACCTTCTGGGAGCAAAATAACAAATTTTAAAATTTTAATTTATTTGTCTTTTTTTTTGCTGAGGAAGATTAGCCCTGAGCTAACATCTGTTGCCAATCCTCCTCCTTTTTTGCTTGAGGAAGATTAGCCCTAAGCCAACATCTGTGCCCATCTTCCTCTATTTTGTATGTGAGACGCCACCACAGCATGGCTGACGAGTAGTGTAGGTCCACACCCAGGATCCAAACCTGTGAACCTGGGTTGCTGAAGTGGAGCATGCTGAACTTCACCACCACACCATGGGGCTGGCCCTGAATTTATTTGTTTTTTGACCCAGCAACTCCTGCACAAAGATGTATAAGATTGATTTTGCAACTGGAAACAACCTATTTGTCAATAGAGTAAACAAAGTTACAGGATATTCATTTAGTGGAATATTATGTAGCGATAAAAATAATGTGGCACAGATGAAGGAAGGTGGGGCTGGAAGAGATGGGGAATGCTCAGTAGAGCCCAGGCATGAGTCTAGAAATATGAGTTGATATGAGTAGACTATTCTAACCAAGAGCAATTTACTTTCTATGAAGGAAAAAATGGTATTTAAAACTTATCTTTAAAAATAACTTAATATTATTTAAATTCTTACCCTCTCCCAAATAAGATGTTTTATATGTGTACTGACAGGGAATAATATCCATTATATATATAAAGTCAAAAAATGTAAATTGAAGGACAACAGTATTGTAGATAAGAGAGGCAGTGCTCAAGTCAGATTGCCCGGGTTCAGATCCCAGTGTCACCACTTAATAGCTGTGACCTTGGTAAGTAACTGACCATTCCAGACCTAAGCATCGTATCCTTATTTGGAAAATGAGAAAAATAATAGTACTAACTCACAGGGTTGACATATGGCTCAAAGGATTTAATAAATGAATAGCAGTTAGAATGGTGCTGGGCATACAGTAAACATTTATATATAATATCATATATATCATATGCATATCATATACATATATGTCTTAAGTGAGAAAGAGAAATAACTAGAGATGTGCTTGTATATGTTTATATTTTATGTTTATATATGTTGTATATGTTTATATATGTATATGTTTAGAATATTCACTTTCTAGAAAGGTGTAGAATAAACTGTTAGTAGGGAGTAATGCCAAAGGACATTTCATTTTATGTCATCATATACCGTTTAATTATTTTTAATTACTAACATCTAGGACTTTTTAAATTTAAAAAGCCTCGTTAAAAAATTCAATGTGGGGCCGGCCCCGTGGCTTAGCGGTTAAGTGCGCGCGCTCTGCTACTGGCGGCCCGGGGTCGGATCCCGGGCACGCACCGACGCACCGCTTCTCCGGCCATGCTGAGGGGGGGTCCCACATACAGCAACTAGAAGGATATGCAGCTATGACATACAACTATCTACTGGGGCTTTGGGGAGAAAAAGGGAAAAAAAGGAGGAGGATTGGCAATAGATGTTAGCTCAGGGCCGGTCTTCCTCAGCAAAAAGAGGAGGATTGGCATGGATGTTAGCTCAGGGCTGATCTTCCTCACAAAAAAAAAAAAAAATTCAAGGTAGAATATTTCTGTAAAGCTGCAGCTTGAGACCCTGTCAGGCTAGGGCCTATTAGGATTTTGTTGGGGATTAAACACGATGAAAACAGAACTTAGGGAAAGTAAGTCTTGCTGTAGAAAGTGACTTTTGTTAGACATCAAACATTTAAGAGATTTTTATAGCTATCAAAATGGAGCATGGGTTTTAAAATTTTTTTAGTACTATAACAGCCTTTAATCTTTGCTCCCAGGAAATGGAAAGCCCTGGGTATGTGAACTATTTGGAGAAGCAAGTTGTTGATCCCTGAAGCCTCTGACACACTGGCAGCAGGAGACTGGCGAGACCAGGGAGCCTTGGGTAGGCCTCAGGTCTGGTGGCCTCTGGAGGCCAGGCCAGGGCGGGTTGGGCAGCTGGCTAGAGCCGAGGGAGGGTGGGGCAGCCACACAGCTGCTCGGCAGGCCTGAGCAGCCACAGAGTTTGCAATCTGCTTGAGGCTGCAGTTGAGAGCTGATAGGGAGGAGGAGTGCCTGAGCTCTGGAGATCCCATTGATCAGAGCCCCTCCCATGAGGTCCTCAGGCCTCTGAGTCACCCAGCTGTCCAGAGCAGACTTTTGCTGAAGTGCTATTTGAATTTTAAATAGGTGTATATGGGCTATGGGGCCCAGTGACTCTAACCCAAACCCCCGCCAGACCACCAAGCGGATAGGCCCAAGAGTCCAGGTGCTCCCTCCCGTCCTGAAAGCCCCTGGATGGAGGATTTGCTTTCTACTGGGACACTGAGGAAGAACTGTCTGCCTGTTTACAGAGTCAGCTCAGGCAGCTGCCAGGTGAGTCTCCATCTGTAAGCATGAATCTGTTTATTCTTCACTTTGCAACAGCTAATTGTTCCTCAGCACTTACCATTTGCCAGCCACTATCCTAAGCACTTTACCTGTATTGTGCCATTTAACCCTCACAACAGTACTACAGCCTTATGAGGTGACGACAGGTTTTACACGTTGAGAAACAGGATCACATAGGGTGTCCAGGGCTACATTGCTAGTATGTGGCAGAGCTGTGGCACACACCATTTCTATTTCTGAAGGTCACGTCTACTCATATGCTTTACTGGTTCCTACCTCCTGTAAGGATACACAGTGTTTACCATGAAATGGGTGAAGAGTCAAAAAACAAAAAACCACAAACTACAAACCCTAAAAAGAAGGAAAACACACACACACAAACACACACACACAAAGTAGCTAGAAAATAGGAACACTACCTCAGACTAGGGAAGTTAGTCTTTTGGAGATGCACAGAAAATTTTTCTCTAAGTTCTCTGGCATTCACCAATTTGGAAACATAAGGAGTGACCAGGGAGGCAGCCTTAGGTTACTAAGATTTTTACCAGACTATTCTTATCAAGGGGAATTCACTCTATATGTTTAATGGATACAGTTGTTCTGATTTCTGAGCCCTGAGAGGAGTTTGTTATATAGCTATTTTTAGGAGAGATTATTAATAATAGTGTGGATCGTATCCTCCATGATAGTTTGATCAAAGGGCAGACAGGAATCACCTCCCACCCCGACCCCTCCATGGACCATGACTAAAAGCCAAAGGAATCTTGTGAAACCACAGTTATGCAAAGGCATTTTGATAGTGTAGGTGTGTGGCTTTCTGTTGCTGCAACTTAGATATAAGGGCGAGAGTTGATGGTTTCTTATTGTCAACAGAAAAATGAGCCAAGGTATTGGATAGGCAATCCATTCACAGAAGAGAAAATGCAAATGGCCAGTAAACATAAGGGAAAATGCTAACAATCTAAGAAATGCAAATTAATGAAAATGATATGTATTTTTTTCACCAGGTTGGCAAAAATTATATAGCGTGACGGTATCAAGTCTTGGTGAGGCTGTAAGAACAATGGCTGTCTTCTCTGCAGAGGGAGTGTGCACGGTGTCTGGGCACATGGAGACTAATAAAGGGGCAGCTAGTGAAACTGAACATGCTTGTCTCCTGTGAGCTAGGGATTTCTCTTTTAGGAGCACCAGTATCCACTTCTACAAGTGCAGCAGAAGCCATGTAAAAAAGATGTTTAGTGCAACATTATTTTTAGCTGCAAAGATGTGGAAATGATTTCAATGTCCATGGATAAGAAATGGATAGATAGTTTATTCACATGATGAACTACTATGCAGCAGTCATAATAAGCAAGCTTGACCTATATATTTCTTCAACCTCAAAAGCATAAATATGGACAATACATGCAGGACAATAGCATTTACTTAAGTAAGACATGCTGACATATTGTTTATGGATGCTTACACATAGATATTTACACACACACGTACACAACGTAGGTAGCAATAAACAATTGACCAAATGGACGTATACCAAACTCCAGGTAGTGTGAGGGGAATGAAACTAAGTGTGGAGATTAGAGTGGACTCTGATTATTTCTGTAGTATTTTCTTTAATAATAATAAAATGACTAAATGGAAATAAAATGTCAACAGTTGTTGATGCAGTGGGAACATAGGTGCTTGCACACTAGTCTTTGTACTATTCTGCATCTTTTAAATTTCTCTAAATTAAACAGAGCCCAATACTAAGTGCCAGAGTGCACGGGAGCTGTGTTGCACACTAAAAGGTGATAAACATACTTGCCACCTTGGGTGTGTGTTGGCAACACTCATGCTTTCTTAGGAATGTTGCAGAGCCTGCTTGTCCTCTGATGCTAATGGAGCGCCTCCCACAGAGACACAGGAGCTCCCACAGGCACCTGGAGGCAGGGCCGGGCTTTTCCAAAATGTGTGCCACTGTCCAGGGAGCTCCAGGCCACAGCCCCAGACCAAGCACATGAAAGAGGGGACCCTCCTCATGAGATCCCTCTAGACACCTCTATCGTGAAAGGACATGTCCATGGCATTGTGGAACGTTTCATCCTCCTGGATCTGTCATGGGAAGAAATTTGAAAATATGTGCACACATCTGCATGAATTTGGGGAGGAGTGTTCATCTGTGTCTACTTTTAAAATGGCATTATTTATGCTGGGTTTTTCTTTTTGGTTAGAATTGGCAGTTGAGCTTAGAATGTAATCCTGTTACTATGTCATTTGTGACCCATTCATTAGTACAGTTCATTCATTTATTCATTCACCCATTCACATTCAACAAATGTGTATTAAGTATCTACGGTAGGCAGCAGTCTGAGATGGCCCCCAGGATTCCTGCCCCCTGGTGTACGTTTTCTGTAAAATCTCCTGTTGAGTGTGCTGGCACTTGTGAATATGGTGAGATATCACTCCCATGATTAGGTTCCATTACATGGTAAAGGTGAAGTGATTTTGAAGATGTAATGAAGATCTCTGACCAATTGACTTTGAGTTAATCAAAAAGGAGATTACCCTGGGTGGGCCTGACCTAATCAGGTGACTCCTTTTAAAAGAGAGTCTAGGCCTTCCCTGGAAAAAGAGATTCAAAGCTGAAGAGGCCCTCTCTTACTGGCTGTCAAGATGCAGACAGCCATACTGTGGAGAGGGCCCAGCAGGGAATGTGGCAGCCTCTGGGAGTGGAGGGCCTCAGTCTACAACCTTAAGGAAATGAATTCTGCCAACAGCCACATGAGCTTGGAAGGGGCCGCCTAGCCTTAGGAGAAATGCTAGTCCTGGCCAACACCCTGACTGAGACCCTGAGCTGAGCACCCAGCTTAGCCACGTCGGACCTCCTGACCCATGGACACTGTGAGATGAAATGTATGTTTTAGGCCGCTAAACTTGTTATGCAGTGATAGAAAATGAATACAATATCGATTACGTGTCAGTAATTGAGGATGCAGAAAGGAAGAAACACCATTCCGGTCCCAAAGGCACTCACAGTCTGGTGGAGGAGACAGAAAACTTATAGACACAATTTAGAGTGAAAAGAGTTATCACGGAAATAGGAACAGGGGTGTACTTCCGGCTGACCACGGCCGACTAAACACACAGTGCTGCCAAAACCCCGAGTAATGCCAGCAAAAAAGGCGTCAGCCATAAAGGGGAGAGAATGTGAAGTGAGGAGGGACAACTCTGTTCTTTCTGCCATAAAGCTGGAATGTTCCGTGGCCGTGAATTCCTCCTCCACCTACCACAGGGAGGAAGCCCTTGGCAGTAGGAGAAAGTGAGTCAACAAACAGAAATGGAGCTGAGAGGTGACAAGACAGAATCCTGAAGATGTTTGACACCCTGGGTCCAACTGAACCTGAGGCCTGTTGATTCCCATCCTTCCCAGGTAAAGGAACCAATCAACCTTGGAGATTTTACCTCCAATCCAAGTGTCCTAATTAATATAAATACATAGCGCAGTAAACAGTAGATTGAGCTCTCAATAAGTTTTAATCACTCTTGTCATTACTAAACTGATTATGCATATGAACTAATTAAGCACTGTGGAATCTTGAAGGGCAGCCACCTCACTCCTGGGTGCTTCTCAGGAGGCCTGAGTTTTGTCTGCTGAAAGAAGGCATTACAGTGCAGACAGTGCCCTCAGGACTCAGGACAGGCTCAGACATCTCCCGTGAGGCCTTTGTGGCTGGGAGGGGCCATCCGGCTTGCCTGCGATCTGTGTCATCCTGAATACAGGCAAAGGACTGAAGTTCTTTGAAATGACGGCCTACTGTGCCAGAGGTGCTGGACAGAGAGAGACCCCTGGCAACAGCCCACTTGTGTGTGGTGGTTGTAGGCTAGGGAGTCGGAGTCCTCTGAGTCTCGGGGTGCAGCCAGCAGCTGACAGGCCTGGAGACGCCCTACAGGTCTCTAACACCCACCAGGTGTGTTCGTCTCTTTCCAGAAAGGACCACACCTGTCAGACCACACCAGCACTCCCACCGGGCTCTGACCTCTATGGACGGGACACCAGAAGGAGCCCCTAGACATCTGAACAAATCAGGTCGTTCAGATCCGTGGCCAGCTCCTGCCTGGACGTGGCCTTCCTCCTGCCGAGCTGGCCTGCAGACCTCGAGAACTTGCCCTGGCTGCGGGTGATCTGGAGGTACTGGTCAGTGCTGCTGTTCTGCTGGTCACTACTGGAGGCTGCTGACACGGAGTCAGATTCCGTGAGGGATGGCTCGAACCTGGGCTTCCCTCTGGGCTTCAGAGGGTGCTGTGGGTACTGGAAATTCCGGGAGCGTGGCTTTTTGTGCACATACATAAGCCTGTCAAGACCCTCAAAACCGTCGTGCCAAGACTTGTGGTGCCTCCGTGCCTGGTGCTCAGGAGCCAGCGGCTGACTCGCTGACCTCTCGCCAGCGTACACGTGGGGAGCCCCGCGGAGGTCTGTCAGGGAGCGTGGCTGGAAGGACCACTTGATCAGCTCTCTCCTCAGCATCTCCTCTTCCTCTTCGCTCAGCTGTGGAGAGCGAGCCTGCTGGGGGCCCCGGGACAAACACTGTCGCACGTTCCTGGGGTACATCTCCACGACGTCCCGTAAGGCATCTATCTTGAAATGTCTTTCTGGCCGGAAAGTTGGGTGTGTTTTTTTGTGAGCGTCACGTTCATTGACGATATAGTATCTGGGAGCGTGGGGCCTATGACCATGTGGCACCGGGGCCGAGACCCCCGGTCCATGAAGGGGAGGGTTGATTTGCTGAAAGTCTTTTCGGTAAAGAGGTTCCGAGTGAATGTCTTCCGTGTGCTTTGTGAGTGTCGCAGGTGTGCAGGATCTGTTCCTGTGACGGTCTCCTGTGCTTGCACACGGGCCACGTGGACACCTGTAAGACAGAGGTGGTCAAGCCCCCATGGCCTCGGTGCTCTCAGAGCCCCACCCCTTCCAAGCACCGCGAGCCGGGGCAGCAGATCTCTGCATTTTCACTGAACTGGTCCCAGTGTTGCTGGGTGTCCCATGGATGGCGTGCACAGGCACATCTCCAGACGTCTTCACTGCTGGAGTTCTCAGAGCCCTTACTGTGATGACGGGCACCGTGAGTCTCCACGGAGCAGCGAGGGCAGAGAGTGTTTTGCTACTATGTTTCGTCATGGAGCCCTCCTTTTGTCCATGAGCACACAGTGGGACCAATATTTGTGGAGCACACGTGAGGAAGAGTGCTCCTCACCGTCTCCGCCACGCAGCCGTCCAGCCTCAGCGGCACCTCACCCCGGGCCCACCCGGCTTGGTTGGAATCCCTCCTCCTTGTCAAGGCCCCATAGAGACAGGAAGACAGCTCCTCATACAGCAAGATTTCCACTTCTCTGTTAACTTAGTCATTGTCTTTAAAAAAAACCCTAAACTCCCTGAAATCAAAACCCCCTGTATTTCGTCTATATTGCTTTCACTGTGCTACATTCAGATCAAATGTAATTCTCCATATGAGTCTGGGTCAGTGCGTCCTTCTGGACTTCATGATAGGAATGCAGGGTCCTCTGCTTTCTTATGTGTGAGGCTGAAACAATTGACCCTATGTAACACAGAGATGACCTTGCCAATAACTTGGCCAGCCTAGAGCTAAAATATATAAGATCCTGCCAATAATATGGCCAGTCTGGAGTTAAAAAATAAAAAAATTTTAAAAGGCATTTTCTTTTCTTAGGCTGTAGAAATACATACCCTAGGCTGGCAAGAAGGCTTGCTTACAGGTTCTGTGGTAGAAGGCCTAGAAGAATTTGTCCTGTTTGACAAACTTTGTCCCTCTGTTTCTTCTCAGTACCAGCGGTCAGTCTCTTGACCTCGTGGCCTTCTGGCAGAATCGGAATTAATGGCCCTGGCCTCCTGAAACTGTTAGGGCCTTCACATCCCTACGGGCTCTTTATTCCACCCTTTATGGCTCTGGGCCATCCCTGGTCGGTACACGGTCAGCGGGGAGGTTTCCCGCTGTGCTGCAGGTAAGCTCACCTGTTGGTGTCTGGCTCCGGCCGGGATTTGGAGATGCCAGGAAGAGGCGAGCTAGGACTGCTGGTCCCTGGCCAGGGACTCTGGGGTGTGGGTTGGGTGACGGTCTCTACCCTGCCACTTTTGCTGCTTGTTGAGTCAAAATTGACCACGTTGCCATTGTTCTGGGGTGTCGCCAAGGGAGCCGAGGATAGCTGGCTGCCCAGATCCATGTCCTGTGGGAGCCTCTTGGTGCTTTCATCCTGGGTTTGGATTCGGGCTGTGGGAAGAGGCAGGGCCGTGAGAAGACGGCTCTGGGGTGGCACATCCAGGCAGGTTCAGCTGCAGGTGTTGGGACTTCCAGCAGCGGGGTCTACGGACAGGCGTATGCACTTGCAGACCCACCAGCCTGGGGGCCATGCACATTTTGGGATTCAAGTCATTTCTTCACACAAAGTTGGAGCTGGAGGGGAGTGTGGGGGGATCAAATGAACCCTGAGGCTTTACACATGTACCATCTGATGCCCCAGGAGGCAAAGTGGGTTATTCTCCAGCCTTGGGGCTCTGGCTCCTCATCTACACAATGGATATTGTAAAGCTTACAAGATAATTAGGATTTTTTGGAAACAGTTGACAGAGCATTCTGAAAAAAGAAGTGGCCTTGAGCTGAAAAATGGACATTGGACAATGAAATTCTGATCCTGAGAAAGTCTATGGAGATTCTAGTTTTTGAAGATAACCTGAACTAAACTTAATTATGCTCCATTGGCAAATAATACTTGACAGTTACAGTGGGGTTTATAGCCTGAGCTGCAGTCTCTCCACAGCAATTTCCAGTCACACACTGCTCTCCGGAAAGGCAGACGGGCGAGCACGACCCTGAGGCCCGGTGATTTGTGCTCAGGCATTTTCCTGGAGGAGAATAAATCCCTCCCAATGAGCTGAGTATTAAACAGACGGAAGAGTTGGCCCACAGAGCCTTTCTGGGTCTCATGCTCATTCATTTTCTGAGGAGAATAGGACTGAGCCATTTTAAAGTTGCCTAGTGCCCCTTCTAGCTCACACATGAGTAGTGGTGTCCGGCAGGCACGTTTCCTTTGAGTGCACCGTGCATTTGTCCCCATTCAGGCTCGTCAGGCTTCTGCTCCTGCCGTTTTCGTGCTTTCTGCGGGGGCTCCCCTCCCTTGCTGGGCTGGGTGGGAAGCCTGTCAGGGCACAGCTGGAGAAGACGTGCGAAGGCGTGGCCATTGGGTTTGGGTTTCTTACTGGGGAATCTGTCCTTGTGGCTAGGCCTGCCCAGCTGGCATTGCTCTGCAGGAGTGGGACAGAGGACAGAACCTAAGGAGGCTGGACCCTGGGGCTGACAACTGAGCAGAGGTGACGTGATTCTGAAGATGTAATTAAGGTCTCTGACTCATTAACTTAGAGTTAATCAAACGGGACATTATCCTGGGTGGGTCTGACCTAACAAGGTGAGTCCTTTTAAAAAAGAGTATACAGGCCTTCACTGGAAAAAGGATTCGAAACGGGCCATCGAGAGGAAGTACACAAAACTGAACATGACAAAGACATTCTTATGGGTTTTTCCTCAGATGTTTGTGCTTCTTTTTCTCTCCTACTACAAAATCTCCTTCTGACTTCAGACATGTTTTGAAGTTATTCACAGGCTCGGGTATGATGTAAAAATTGTAGATTTAAACCAAAATTTATATCCCTAAATTTTATTTTATTGTGCCCAGTTAATTGTGAAAACCAGTTTCTCAGGAATTTTTATTAGTAGTGTACCTTAAACTGCTATATTTTTATTTTCTTTAATTTTTATTTATTTTTATTTTTTAATTTCATGTTTTTTGTGAGGAAGATTAGCCCTGAGCTAACATCTGTTGCCAATCCTCCTCTTTTTGCTGAGGAAGATTGGCCCTGGGCTAACATCTGTGCCCATCTTCCTCTACTTTATATGGGACGCCGCCACAGCATGACAAGCGGTGCATTGGTGTGTGCCCGGGATCTGAACTTGCAAAACCCCAGGCCACTGAAGCAGAGTGCGTGTACTTAACCGCTGTGTCACTGGGCCGGCCCCAAACTGCTATATTTTTAAATGCCCACCAACTGAGACATCAGGCATTTTTGTTTACTTACCTTCTACCATTTGGGCAAACTTTTTCTTATCTTCAGATCTTGCCTAAAATACAAATGATAATCATATATTTGTTCTGGATTTAGCAGGAAGCAGTAACAAATACTATTCTTGGGGGAAGATGATTTGTGCATCCTTGCTCAGATCTTGGGCCAGGACCAAACTCCTACTGCTCCGCAGGGCCACTACTCTGGGCTCAGGCCTGTGACTTGAGTGAGTAAATGCTGACACCTGAGAGCTAGAATTTTATCCCTAGTCAGTTTTATTTTTAGGGGCAGCTATTTGATAGACCAGGTTTAGATTCTGCCAATAATGGTTTTCCTGAGACACAAAAGAGAAAATATGGATCAACCACACAGGAGACGTATGTTTCCACAAAAATGCCCTTTGCGACTCCAAAGGCATTTCTTATTTGAGTATTTGCAAAACTAGGTGGTGTTTCTTTACATGAATTGATATCCGTGGGGTTCGGGGAGTGGGGTGAAGTAAGAGAGGCATTCAGGGGCCACATTTAAGGAGGTGCTCACTCTCGGGGCTGTGGAAGTGCAGAGTGGTACGACCCTGGGTGCGTGTGCCTCCTTGATGTGGCATCCTGGTGCCTCCCTCGCCTCGCCTTGCCCTGGCCCTGGGGGAGCCCCTGGGGTGTGCAGAGGAGGAAGAATTGTGGAAGGAGGGAGAAGTCTCCCTCTGACTGTCCTGAGAACCAGGGCTTGAGCCCCAGATGGGAGAGAGGGTAATGACAACCAGACTCTAGAAGATGCAAAAAAGGGGAGTCTTTGGGTCCGAGCAGGGCATTTGGGCCCAGAGGTCCAAGCTGAGCCAGGTAGGGAAGGGGTCCTTTCTCTTTGCTCGCAGAGAAGCACAGCCAGCAGAAGAGACAGCACACTGAGGGCTTGGTGTGGCCTCAAGAGGGGCGTTGAAGGGCTCGGGGCATCAGCAGGGCCACCTGAGGAGGAGGAACAGCAGGTGCGGCTCCCTCCTGGGCAAGCGGGAGCCGTCCCTGGACAGTCTTAGAAGTAGCTCTGGGAGACCCTGGTGGGAGGGGTGGCCAAGAGTCCCCGTCATTTGGCACTGTGACATCATGTGTGTCCCTTGCTAGTGAGATCCCAGTCAGGTGGCTGACACATTCACAAGAGCAGAGATCTCGTAATACTTGCGTTTTGGATCTGCATTTTGAGCTGGTGGTTGCTGAGCTTCAGTGATCTTGCGATGCTCTGAAGGTAGTAGATGAGCATGCTAGGACAGAACAGCACAGGGAGGTGAGTGCACTTCGGCCAGCTTGTTGGCTTTTCCGGACTTGTTCCCAGCTCAGCTGGTTGGCAGGAACCAGAGGTTCCCAGGCCAGATGTGGGCTACCCACTGACCCGTTCCTGAGGACAAAAGGTGTCGGCAAGTTCTCAGGCCTGCTAGCACTGGAAAGGGGCTGCTTTCCTTTTCTTTCTCCTGCTTTTTACAGCAAACTCCACTGACCTGGAATACTGTGCAGTGAGAGCAATAGGGAAGGAGCAAAGACCGGGAGGGGCATTTTACAGTGAATCAAGCTATGAGTACTGGATCTGCTCGCTACTATTTTTCCTTTAAGCCAAAACAAGCAGAAGTTACTCAGCTGCATTGCAAAATTCCTTTTCGAGATTATTTAAAGTTCTGGAGAATACGAAACTGAGAATGGCATTCAACCCCATTATAGTGGCCTCAGTTGCCCACGTGGTGTTGATGAATCAGTCATGCTGTCCCTCCTCGGCTCCCGCGTGAGTCAGAGTCCCTGCTTAGATCACTGGGCTCTGTCAGTGGCTTTCGAATGAACTCACTGATTTTATATAATTATTGGAAAGCAGTGCTTTCTTGTTGGCCAAACATGCAGAAGTCCCCCAAAAGCTGGCAGGGAAGTCATGTGTGGTACTCACAAGAGCAGCAGCACGGCCGGCAGGATGACCACAGGGCTGCCGATGTACCCCACCACAGAGCCAAACCATGCAGGAAAGTCCTTCTCAATCGTCTCTGACACAATGTCATAAATCTTCTCTTGTCCACTGTGAGATAGAAAAGCGTAACTCCAAATTGTGTTGCTTTTGGCAGAAAGATGCTGCAAGCTGTCAAAAAAATGGCTAGATGGCCACAGTCCAATCTTCAATGTCAGTTATAAAGCTAGAGTAAATATCTGTGTGTGAAAGACATGTCACCTTCCTAAGATGATTTCATAGGAAGTAGTCATCTAATTATTATGTAGGTTTGAAGGTGGGGTGAAGAACCACATTTTCTGTGTGTGTGTGTGTTTTAATAATGTACACAAGATAGACTCTAAATATTACATATATATTGTATCAAAGCTGACTTAAAGCAAATGCTGGGAGATAATTTGAGATTTCTGCCTTGGTGGAGCTGGATAATGCAGAATCCAAAGTGAGGTGGACTATCTTTAATAAAAGCTTTCTGCGTTCTAGGAGCGGGAGGTTGACCGGGTAGACTTTCTTTCTAGCCCTGGAGCAATGTTGTTTCTTTTTTTGATTTTTAAATCTGTATCTTTTAAAGATGAGCACAGAGATGATCATACTTGAGGGCAGCCTGCTTATCAAGAAAGGGCACTGGTCTCAGATTCAAAAGGCATGACTTTGAGATCTTTCTCTGCTAGTGCCCTGTTCTGTAAGCCAGAAGGAGAATTCAGTCTCCCACAGCTGTCAGTAGCTCCAAGCAGAGCTGACGGAAGTAAAATCACTTACCTGAACGGCCCGCAATGTAGGGAGGGCTTGTACCGGACAATGGCAAAAATGGTTGGCAGCATGCAGAGGAAGAGCATAAACAGGAGCATGGCCAAGTAGAAGTTGTTGGATCTGCAAAGAAACCAGGTGGCCAGTTGCCAATGATGCGTATGCCTGAAGAACTGACACAGAACCGCAACCCTGACTCTTTGCAAACAGAAGAATCCTATCTAGGACAGGTTCGTCATAGGGTCACAGGCAGCTTGGCAAACTAGAAATTGGTGCTCAGAGGGACTTCATAGATCATCCAACCCAAAGTATTCATCTACTAAACATTTGCTGAACACCTGTTCACCTCAAAACAAGAGAGTGGTGAACCCATGGGCATTACCCTATAAGCTTAATTCATGGAAAATCTTAGAAACCTTTGCCCCATTCACCTGGGTCCTTACCTAAAGGTTCCCTCTCCTGTTCTCAGCCTTGAACTTGTCTCCTGTGTATGAGAACGGTTTGACTCCTTTGGTTATGATTCTTGACCCTCTCACTTGGATGTGTCTCTCGACCTCTTACCCTCTCTGCTCCTGGCTGCTCAGGGTAAATGTTCTGCCTGACTAAGCTCGGGGCCCTGGGCCCTGAGCTGGTGTCAGGGAGCATGGCTGCCCAGGCCTCTCCTGAGGCAGCTCAGATCTATTTGTTGTACGAGGCCCTGTACACTGTCTGGAAAGAGAATGAGTGGTCAACCAATCTCGAGACTCTCAAGAGCACTCTCTGTCTCTCTCTTTAATAAAATAGATTAGACTGGAAGAGAATAGAAAATATCAGAGTGCATAGAATGTAAGTAGGTGAGTCTTAATTTGTGAAACCTTTCTCTCTCTCCCTTTCTCCTCCCCCATATATACACTATATATATATTTGTGTGTATATTCATTTATATGTATGTGTGTGTATATATGTGTGTGTATATATGTATGCATGCATGTATGTAGACATATACATATATACATATAAGTGGATATACACATGCACATATAAATTATACATAAAAACATGTATATATGAATGTATGCAGGTATGTGTACTGGTCACTAGGTAAAGTACAAATACATTATCACACAGGTTATGGTCAAGAAGTTTGAAAGCCACTGATGTACACCCACATAAATAACTATTATGTCAAAATAAAATGGATGAGCTCTAATCAAGGTGTTCAAAATGTGTTGTGAATTCACCAAAATGGCTAAAATGGAAAACACAGAAAAGAACAAGTGTTGGCAAGCTTGTGGGACAACTAGAGTCTCATGTAATGCTGGTGGAAGTGTAAAAGATGTTTTGACACGTCTACTAAAGGTATGCATGCCCCACACCCAGCAATTGCTCTCCTAGGTGTATACCTAACAAAAGACCCTTCTGAGAATGTTCAAGGCAGCATTATTCATTATAGCTAATAGTTGGAAACAACCCTTGTGCCCATCAAAAGTAGCATGGATGGATGAGGAGTGACGTCAGCATCATGGTGGAGTGAGCTTTCCCCCTTAGACTCTCCCCACTAAGATACAACAAAAAGGACATTTACATACCAACACAGGACATTCACACAACACAAAGGACATCTGAGAGACCCACACAGCCTTACCTCTGAAACTGGAGGTGCTGGAACCCCCAGAGGAAGTGGAAGGAGGGAAGGAGAACTCCTCTCCTTCCCGAATGACAGTGACCCTGGGACCTGGACCGTGCAGCTCTGAGGGGGGATAGGGGCGGCCCTCTGCGGGAAAACTGTCACTCTTCAAGGTCTCTCACAGCCTGTGGGAAATTCCTGTATGGAGGGGACTGAACTGTTGCAGGGGTGCCTTCATCAACCTAGCACCCCAGGAGAGCAGATAGTGAGGGAAGAGCAAGAAGCCCCTGGGATCGGGCAGGCTAAAGAAAGAGCCTCTCCCCCTGCCTGGTGCTCCAGGACAACTGGTCAGCCAGATGGATCATGCCAGGCTCAGAATACACAGATCTTGACCCCCACCTGGTGGCGGCAGGTGGAAGCTGTGACCAGATATTTTCAGAATGCAGAAAAATAAGCCCACACCCTCAGCCAGTATGCAAAAATATATTAAATCTCCAGACCAGAAGGAAAATGACAAGCACCCGGAAATCAATCCTGAAGGCACAGAAATTTATAACCTAAAGGACAGAGAATTCAAAATAGCTATCATAAAAAAGCTCAAAGAATTACAAGAAAACACAGATAATTCAATGAAATCAGGAACTTCTTCACAAAAGAGATTGAAACATAAAGAAAAACCAATCAGAAATGTTGGAGATGAAACACACAGTGGAGGAGATAAAGAAAAATCTGGAATCTTTAAAGGACAGAGCTGTCAATATGGAGTAAAGAATTAGCATTATTGAGGATAGGAATGTAGAAATGCTCCAGATGGAGGAGGATAAAGAACAAAGACTAAAAAGAAATGAAGAAATTCTCTGAGAAATATCCGATATAATTAGGAAATGCAACATAAGGATTATAGGTATTCCAGAGGGAGAAGAGAGGGAGAAAGGAGCAGAGAGCTTGTTCAAAGACATAATAGCTGAGAACTTCCCAAACCTGGGGAAGGAGCTGGAAATACAAGTGAATGAAGTCAACAGATCTCCTAAATATATCAACATAAAAAGATCCTCTCCAAGGCATATAGTAGTAAAGCTGGCAAAAGTCAATGACAAAGAAAAATTATTAAGGGTAGCAAGACACACACACAAAAAAACCAACATACAAAGGAATTCCAATCAGGTTCTCAGTCGATTTCTCAGCAGAAACTTTACAGTCTAGGAGAGAGTGGAATGCTATATTCAAAATTCTGAAAGACAAAAACTTTCAGCCAAGAATACTCTATCCAGCGAAAATATTCTTCAGAGATGATGGAGAAATAATAACTATCCCAGATAAACAAAAACTAAGGGAGTTCATTGCCACTAGACCCCCACTACAAGAAATGCTCAAGAAGGCCCTCATGCCTTACAAAAAAAGAGAAAAGGGATACAAAGCTGTGAGCAAGGAGAAAAATAGACAAAATCAGAAAAATTGCAGCTCTCTATCAGAATAGGTTAGCAAACACCTAATTACAACATCAAAGATTAAGGGAAGGAAAACACCAAAAATAAATATAACCTCATCTCTTTAAACACAAACTCACAAGATGGAATAAGTTGTGACCATAATAACTTAGAAGGGGAAGATAAAAGGAATGGAATCGACTTAGTCTAAGGAAATGAGGCCATCAGAAAATGGACTGTCTCATCTATGAGATTTTTTATACAAACCACATGGTAACCACTAAACAAATAATCAGAACAGAGACACATACAATAAATAAAGAGAAAACTAAGAAAACCATCATAAGGAACTACCAAAGTGAATTGGTAGTCCAAAATACACAGGATGAGAAACAAAGCAAATGCAAAAGAACTGGAGAATGAGCAATAAAATAGCAACATTAAGCCCTTGTATATCAATAACCACTCTAAATGTAAATGGATTGAATTCTCCAATCAAAAGACACAGAGTAGTGGGATGGATTAAAATACAAGATCCAACAATATGCTGCCTCCAGGAAACACACCTCAGCTCTAAAGACAAACACAGGCTCAGAGTGAAAGAATGGAAGACAATCCTCCAAGCTAATGGCAAACAAAAGAAAGCAGTGTTGCCATACTCATATCAGACAAAGTAGACTTCCAGATAAAATGGGTAATGAGAGACAAAGAGGGGCAATATATAATGACAAAAGGGACATTCCACTAAGAAGACATATCACTTATAAATATATACGCACCCAACACAGGAGCACTAAAGTACATAAAGCAACTATTGACAAACCTAAAAGGAGATAGTAACAAAAGCACAATAACAGTGGGGGATCTTAAAACTCCACTTACATCAATGGATAGATCATCCAGACAGAAAGTCAATAAGGAAATAGTGGACTTAAATGAAAAACCAGACCAGATGGACTTAATAGATTTATATAGAGCACTCCATCCAAACACAGCAGATTACACATTATTCTCAAGCATGCATGGAACATTCTCAAGGATAGACCATATGTTGGGAAGCAAGGCAAGCCTCTATAAATTTAAGAAGACTGAAATCGTAACAAGCATCTTTTCTGACGCATAATGCTATGAAACTAGAAATCAACTACAAGAAAAAATCTGGGAAAGTGACAAAGATCTGGAGGCTAAACAATATGCTACTGAATAACCAATAAATCATTGAAGAAATTAAAGGAGAAAGCAAAAAATATCTGGAGACAAATAAAAATGAAAATACACCATACCAACTCATATGGGATGCAGCTAAAGTGGTCCTGAGAGGGAAATTCATAGCAATGCAGGTCCATATTAACAAATAAGAAAAATCCCAAATAACCAACCTTAAACTACACCTAAAATAATTAGAAAAAGAAGAAAAAACAAAGCCCAAAGTTGGCAGAAGGAGGGAAATAATAAAACTCAGAGCAGAAATAAATGAAATTGAAAGCAAAAAAGCAGCAGAAAGGATCAAGGAAACAAATAGCTGGTTCTTTGAGACAAACCCTTAGCCAGACTTACTAATAAAAAAAGAGAGAAGGCTCAAATAAACAAAATTAGAAATGAAAGAGGAGAAATTACAACGGATACCACAGAAATACAAAGGATTAAAGAGAATACTATGAAAATCTATAAGCCAACAAATTGGACAGTCTAGAAGAAATGGATAAACTCTTAGACTCAAACAACCTCCTAAAACAGAATCAAGAAGAAATAGAGACCCTGAATAGACCAATCCAAGTAAAGAGATTGAAACAGTAATTAAAAACCTCCCCCCAAATAAAAGTCCAGGACTAGATGGCTTCTCTGAAGAATTTTACCAAACATTCAAAGAAGATTTAATACCTGTCCTTCTCAAACTATTCCAAAAAATAGAGGAAGATATAACCCACTTCCTAACACATTCTACGAAGCCAACATCACCCTGATACCAGAGCCAGATGAGAACAGTACAAAGAAGGAAAATTACAGGCCAATATCGCTGAGGAACATAGATGCAAAAATCCTCAACAAAATATTGGCAAACCGAATACAGCAATGCATTAAAAGGATCATACACCATGATCAAGTGGGCAGAGGGTATGAACAGACGTTTCTCCAAGGAAGATATACAGATGGCCAATAGGCATATGAAAAGATGTTCAACATCACTAATCATCAGGGAAATGCAAATCAAAACAACACTAAGATATCGCCTTATACCCATTAGAATGGCTATCATCACCAAGACAAAAAAGAAGACAAAATCGTCCCATTTGCAACAACGTAGATGGACCTGGAGGGTATTATGTTACGTGAAATAAGCCAGACAAAGACAGACAAACATCACATGATTTCACTCATATGTGGAAGATAAACTAACACACGGACAGAGAGAACTGTTTGGTGGTTACCAGGGGGAAGGGGGTTGGGGGTGGGCACAAGGGGTGAAGGGGAGCATTTATAGGGTGACTGACAAACAATAATGTACAACTGAAATTTCACAATGTTATAAACTACTATGACATCAATAAAAAGAAAGTAGAATGGATAAAGAAATAGGGGTATATTTCCTCAATGATATGAACCTCACAGGCACATTATTCAGGGAAAGAAGCCAGAAACAAAAGAGCTCCTCCTGTGTGCGATTCCATTTACGTGGAGTCAAAAACCAGGCAAAATGAATTACGCTGGTAGAAGTTGGTGGTGACTGGAATTGAGTACAAGGGGCCTTCTGGGTGTTGTTCTTGATCTGTTTCTTGATCTGGGTGCTGGTCACGTACTCGTGTTCAGTTGGTGAATATTCATCAGACTGATATTTATGATTTGTGCACTTTCTAAATGATTGTTAAACTTCAGCAAAAAGTTTTAAAAAATATGTCATGAGCTTAAGAGGAGTAATGATTAACTCCAAGGGTGGGGCATTGGAAATGGCTTCAGGAAGGAAATAAACCAGAGGACAGACAAGATTTTGATAAGCAGAGAGCTGGGGACCCCCTTGTGGAAGTCGCCCTGGACAAGGTGCGGTGGATGATGCAAGTTCTCTGTCTGCAGCCCGCTTTGCTCCCACTGACCTGGAGGCTCGAAACACCTGCTGGTGGGGCACATTGCAGGTCAGCACAGCCCAGCTCCTCAGGTACATGAGCCCAATCAGCTTGAGGACATTGAAGGCAGGGAGGCACGGAGAGAAGAAGGCCCCCATCCTGGAACCACGAGGGGAGGCGAGTTAGCACGTTGTCTTCCAGTCTAATAGGGTTCTGAGACCTTGAGATTTATACCTTATGCTTAAAGGACCAGAGAAACCCCTGAAGCTCTGAGACCCCAACCCTCCACCGTCGCAGATAAGACAGGTAACTTCTGCAGATGATTGAAAATATCCTCTTTGCACAGGAACACTGTCTCTCTCTTCACACTCAGCAGAGGAAAGGCCCTCTTCTGGTGAAGAGGCAAATGATGGGTCACCACAGTTCGGGGGGCTCTAGGTTTTGCCTGTCTATGGTGAGGGCTGCGTTAATAAATTACTGACTTTCAGGTTTGATCAACATATGTTGAGCAGCTATTTTGTTGGGCATATGCTAAACATCCTCTCACATTTCAGCTCATTTAACCTTCTGCAATCATGAAAGGAGGGATAAATGACCAAAGTTTATAGACATGGAAGGTGGGTCTGGGGAAGTTAAGTGATTTGCCCAAAGACATGTTGCTAACAAAAGGGCGACCCCGTATCATCCACATGGAGATACTTCTGAGAGTGACAGATCTCGGACAACAGGCAAGAACTGGACTGTCTGGGGAAACAGACATGTAGTTACACTGCAAATAGGTGTCACAGATGGAACAAAATCCAGATCTTCTGACATTGAGGCTAAATCTGTTTATACTGGGTGTGCATCCATACAATACTTGTGGAATTCAGATTTAGTGATAGGAAAATAAGTATAGATATAAGGATACGTTTAATAAGTAAAAGCTTTTAAAAAGACACTTTTGGTTTCTCACAGACAGCAGGCAAGAATTTCACTGTCTGTGTGATGTTAGGCAAGACATTTAGCTTCCCTGTGCCTCAGTTTTCTCATATTTACAATGGAGAAAATAGTACTAGTAACCTAGTAGGGTTTCTGAAGGATTAAGTCTGTTACTACAGGTATAAAAGTGTCTGATATCTACTAAATGTTAAGTAAATGTTACATATTATTTTTAATACTGTATTTGTGAAAATACTTTTCAAAAGAAGGGGACTAGGAGAATATAGAATTTGATTGAAGGAATATTACTTTATATCTCTCAATTCTACATGCATTTTACTGAATGATTATGAGGAGAGATTGTGTTTTCTGAATGTATGGAACATCAAAGTTGTTCTTTTTCTTTGTTTGCTTGTGTTTTATCAAATAGCTCTCTATTTATGGTCCAGTAGGTAAAACCAGAGATGAAGGGGTGACTTAGGGAGCTCTCTGCCCAGCCCACAGACACACACCTTTGTGGCCCAGATGACCCCTCTCGGTTCTCTGGCGTCTTTAGGAAGAGGATTGCCTTGGCTGGAAGTTGCCCTGTGTGGACAGTCTTCCCAAGTTTCTGGCCTCCCCCAGCACGGGTCTGCAGTCTGGCAGATGGCCGTGCCCCTGGGCTCAGTGTCTAAGTGAAAATATGGATGCACATGGGAGGGACAGTGGGCAGCTGAGGGCAGGAAGGCCAGGCTCCCCAGCTGTGACACAGCCACTCCGGGAAGTCCTCCTGGGGGGTTAGCGACCTCTTCTCAGCCTTCCCCCAGTCCTCCCCAGCAGCTTATTCTATCGGGTCCTGTGCAGATTTTTTTGGCTATAATCACAGTGGCCTAAAAATGGGCAATTTCCTTCATCACTCCTTTCTGAAAAATGCTTTTAGAAAACCATTACTTTTAGAAAAAAATTACTATACATGTGAAATATTTCAATTAGAAAATGTTTATGTCTTTCTTAATTCATATGATTGTGTTTATTATGGTCACGTCCCAACCAGACGAAGTGAATTAAAATCTTAGCCCAGATGAGATGTAAGCAAAGGCAAGAAGAAGCTTTGATACCTACCAGATCATTCCCTGGTTGTAGACTAAATGTAGCACATTCTCCGCTATTTTGAATTCCCCATATTCAGGCTACAAGAGAAAATGAACTTCCGCATCAAAAAATGCTCCAAAGTTCTTTGCATAAAGCAGTTAATTATAGTACATACATAGACTTCCTTGTTTATATAGGCATGTAGAGATCATTGTCTGTGTGGCCATCTCAGCAAATAGAAGATGTAAGAATGGTGCCGGCCCTGTGGCTTAGCGGTTAAGTGCGCGTGCTCCGCTGCTGGCGGCCCGGGTTCGGATCCCGGGCGCTCACTGACGCACTGCTTCTCCGGCCATGCTGAGGCCGCGTCCCACACACAGCAACTAGAAGGATGTGCAGCTATGACATACAACTATCTACTGGGGCTTTGGGGGGAAAAAAAGTATAAAAATAAAATAAAATAAAATAATGAAAATGTAAGAATGAAATGGAAACTCAGCTTTGCATACCGTTTCCCTCTTTCCTCATGTATTTTCTCTCAGCCACGTCTGTTTCCCAGCCTAGTCATTAGAAAAGGGTGCATCTAGCCATATGAACTTCCTCAATAGACAGAGCATCTTACTTACAAACTTGCTTTCCAGGTCCCAACACCAGTAGTCACTTAAGTACCGAACAAAAAGTCCTCGGAAGAAGTCTATGAGCAGGATGCTGGCCACAGTGAAGAGCATGTCGATGATGGAGAGCTTCAGCATCTCCTGAAACACAAGCGTTCTTGGATGCCACCACGCCTCCATGCCCTGCCCTCCCACCACCCACCTCTCCCTTCAAGGTCCCCCAGTCTGTTCATTCCCATGGGCTTGAACCACTGGGTCCTCTCCAGTGGCACATAATGGACGCTCAATAAATATTTGTTAACTTGAATTTTGATATCCAAGGCCAGCATTACATGAAACCAGGAGGATCTAAGGTCTGTGGTTTTGTAGCCACAGGAGACAACTGGAGGCCTGTGATTCAATTCCATGGGATAATACCTCAGAGCTGAGATTCTCTGTACAAGACAATGTATCGAAGGTGGAAGGCAGAGTGGTTCAGGGCTCAAAGCTTGGAACAGATGCCAGGGTTTGGGCCTTTGTTCTGATCTTTACTATCTATGTCCTTAGGAAAGTTATTTAACCTCTTGTGTCTCAGTTTCCTCATCTGTGCCTATAAGGGTGGTAATAATAGGATTCTTATGGGACTAAGCACTTAGACTAGGTTCCAGCACACAGTTAACACTGCTTGAGTCTTTGCACTGATTATTATTATTAACTTTGAGAACTGGAAAATCATAAACCCTCACTGGACCTTATTTTCCTTTTCTATAAAATAGGAATAATGACACTTCAGAGATTTGCTAGACTTAAGTGATGAAATGGATGTGAAAGGGCTTTATAAGGGAGACAGGGAGCCACCTGCCCAACATAGGTTTCCCAGCACTGGTTTTGAGGACTCTGGGTGTAGACAGTGGTCTTGTTGGCCTCTGAGAGAGGCAAAGTGTAAGTTGGGATGCTAGCTTCTTCTAGGGCCCATGTGCTGTTTCTCCTGAGCCCTATCCCAGGCCCAGGCATGGACCATTTCTCTTCTTCAGGGGCTGCCTTGGTGGCAAAGACGATGGTAGAATCTATCCAGTGACTTGTGTTACTTTTAGTAGCAGCTTCCTGGGGAGAGAAGGAGGGAAGGAAGAAAAGAAGGTTGTCCATGTATCTGTAAATAAGGACCCACCATGGATACCAAGGGTGTCATTGCACTGCTTGGGAGTAATCTCCCTGTCTCTCTGTGTCTCTGTCTCTCCCTGTCTCCATCTCTCTCTCCCCTTCTGCCTCCAGCGTGGTAGATAGCCACTTGACTAGAGTTGACCCCAATAATGAACATAGAGTTGTAATGGATAGTATTTGTTGGTCCCTAGTAAGTGTCAGAGACTGTTCCAGGTTAATACGTTACATCTTCTCATCCTCACAAGAGTGTCGGGTAAGAATAATTATCTGTATTATAGATGAGGAGACTGAAGCTCAGCCAATTGAAGTGGAACACTCAAGGTCACTTTGCAAGTCAGTGCAGGTGAGGACCCAGTCTATGCAACATCACAGCCTGGATGCAGAACCGTCACCTCGTCTGCCTTATAAGCCTGAGTTTGATGCTGGTCTGGTGTGGCTTGAGCAAACAGCCCTGAGAAACCTCCTTCTCCTCCCTGCCTTCCCTTCCACCCCCATCTGGGATGTCCTCACAGGTGGAGCTCCAAAGCTACTCTGGGTTGGGAGTGGATACTCTTGCTGGTTTGGGATGGGGGCCCACTCTGAACAGTTACCCAGGAGTGCTTATCTTCTCCCAGCTTTCTAAATGAGTCTCACAGCCAGCCACTCTTCCCGGGGTCATTTGCAATAGCTTTTCATAGCTTCTTCCGATGGGATTCAAGGAAATGGGGTAGTATTGTGGAAAGAGACTAGGAGCCAAAGACCCAGGGTCTCACCCCAGCCCTGTCACTCACTAGCCACAAACCCTGGCCTCAGTTTCTTTATCTTGGAAATGGGGCTAATTTTTCTATCCTCACCTTGAGAAGACCACAACTGAGTTGAGTTTTGAAGATGATGAATGGAGTGCAAGTGTAAGCACTGATGTTAACAACAATGAAGATGACCTGTGTGTGTATGCATGTGTGTGTGTGCGTGTGTGCTTGCATGTGTGTGGCAGTGGTTGGGTGGGCAACTGTCCAGCGGGGAGCACTCACCTCACTGCTCATGCTGTTGACTTTGTCCAGGAGAGCGATGATCAGACTGTAGAGATTTCCCAGGTAGAGCACAAGGACCCTGGAAGCCACAAGCCCACCTTGAGACACAGCCCACCACACAAAAGTCCATGGTCCTCGACCCACCACAGTTTAGAAGTGACTACCCTAGGGGGCCGGCCCCGTGGCGCAAGCAGTTAAGTGCGCAGCGCAGCGGCCTGGGGTTCGCTGGTTCGGATCCCGGGTGTGCACCGAGGCACCACTTGTCAAGCCATGCTGTGGCGGCATCCCATATAAAGTGGAGGAGGATGGGCATGGATGTTAGCCCAGGGCCCGTCTTCCTCAGCAAAAAAAAAAAAAAAAAAAAAAAGAAGTGACTACCCTGGTTACGCTAAGAGAGCGGCTGCCACACTTGGTTTCCTTCAGAATCATATTGGGTGCATTTAAAAAATACAGAATTCCCGAATCCACCATGCTTCCGTAGGTCTGGATGGGTCTGGGAATCTTCTTATAGCCTTCTCAGGTAAGAAGATTCCACTGTAGCCTTCCTTGGATCAGCATTTAAGAACCACTACTGCAGCAGAAAGAGGGTGAGCTTAGGAAGGGGCGTTCTGCAGCATAGTGTAAATTATATGTGTGTTTGTGTCATGCTTTCTGGTTTATAAAGTGATTTTCCAGCATTAACTCATTTGATTCTCACAACTCTGTGAGGTCCGTATTATTATTATCCCCACTTAAGGGACAAGTACATTGAATCACCAGGAGGACTAAGTGGCCTGTTCAAGTTCATGCAGTTAGGAGGAGGCAGGGTACAATTTCAGGGTCTCAGTGGGGGGTTCTGAAGCACAGGCTGAACCCCACAGGGCACTGCGGGGCTGAAGCAAGAGGGACTGTGGGCACAGCTACAGCACGTGGGCAGCTGGGAGTGGACGGAATCTGAGAGCAACAGCCTCCATCGGCCAATGGTCAAACTTGATGCCAGTTTCCCCTGAGTTGGAAGGTTTCGGAAACCCATGGAATTTCTGGATGCAGCCTTGAGTCTTATCAGAAACGTGTCTGGAAAAAATGAGATGATGAAGGAAAATGGCAGGTTTACAAATACCCCACAGGGACGGTGGTTAGTGCTTTGAGAATCATGAAACTGATGCCAGTTGATGAAAAAGAGAAAGTGGCTTGATTCCGAGGAAAAGACTCCCAACTGAAGCCGAGTGGCCCATCCCCACAGCCCCCCTTCATCTCTCGGGTGCAGAGTTGACTGCCTGCGTGGTGGAGTGAGCAGAGAACCGGGGGAGAGGCGTCTCCCTGGGGCCTCATCGGGACGGCGCATCGGCTTTTCTTGTGAAATTGTGGAGTGCTGCCCTTCGACCTTGTGCCAGGACCTTTTGCTCTCTGCGTGCACAGTATCTAGCACAGGGCAAGCTCCTCGGAGTAAACTCGGCAAGCGTTGCTGAAGGAAGAGCGGAAGGATTTCATCTGCTGTCTCGGTAGCCCATCCCTCTGGTTTTCCCTGTGCCTTGGATAAAAGGTAACACGGTCTGTTGGTTAGTTAATGGAACCAAAATAATTGTCTTGCTCTTATTGCCAGAATTAGGCCTAATTTGTCTGGGGCAAGTCTCTTGATGCCTCTGTTTCTCTAGTTTTAAACATGAGTAACGAGGTCAATCTATATAATAGGATTGCTGTTAGACCAAATGCAATAATGGAATTGATCCTCCTCAACGCCTGCTGGTGAGGAAGGAGCTGATGAGGACGCTTCTCTCTCCCAGATCAGAAGAGGTGCTGATGGGAGCACAAAGCCCCAGGGTCAGAGCCCGGGGGCGAGTCTCCTCCCAGAGCTCCCCTGGGCTGTGAGGTTTCCACAAACCCCTCGCTCCTTCCAGTCGTGTTTTTCTATCTTTGAAATGACAGTTGGATTTCAGGGGGTCGCAGACTTCAGCCTTCAAGCCAAATCCTCCCCTTACCTATTCTGTAACAGTCATGAGGTACACAGCCACGCTCTCATCTGTGTATTGTCGATGGTGGCTCTCATGCTGCCTCAGAGTTGAGCAGGTGTGACACAGACCGTATGACACGCAAAACCTAAAATATTTCCCGTCTGGTCCTTTACAGAAAACATCTGCTGACTCCTGAATGACAGCAACTCCTCCCAAAGTGGTCTGTGGAAACTTCGTTCTGTGATTGAGTGTGATCTTCGAATGCAACCAAGTGTTACAAGAGAAAACACGGAAAACATGATGAAAGAGATGTGGACCAGGGCGGGGGAGGCAAGTCTGCCGTGCTCTGACAGCACCCTCTCTCTGCCACATCTAATCTAACAGTAACTCCCCCAAACCTGCTAGTTTCATTTACACATGAGGAGACTACACTCCAGGAAGAAGTGGATTGTTCAGGAAGACAGAGATGAAGCCAGCACTAGAAATGAAATGTGGTTGTTCTGACCCACACGGGCTGTGTCCTAGGACATCCCCTCAGACCCACCAGCCTGCTGTTGCTCAGGGCTGCATTCACCACCTGCTGTCACACCCACTGACCATCCTGGCACGACCCCAGAGGCTCCCTGGCATATCCACCAGAACCTCGTTGAGTCTATGCTTTCGGGAATTATGAGCAAAGCATTATGTTCATCTCACATCTGGAAAAACAGTATGGGTCTCTTTCACCACTCACAGTCAATCCACGGCGGGACTCAACAATGAGGAAAACTGGGCAGGCTTTCCATCATCTTCTTGGGCCTCTTTCTCTTGTATCTGCCTTTTCTCCCTCTTCTTCTCTTCTTCCCCTCCCTCTCCTCCTACTCCTCCTCATCTTCTTGTTCTCTTCATTACCTTTTCATTCATTTCTTGTATCCTTGTCCTCCCGGTCCTTCTTCTTCCGCCCCTCCACTCCCCCTGCCTCCTCATCCTCCTTCTCCTCCTTCCTGCCTTTCTCTCCTGTGGCATCCTGCTTTTATGGAGATGCATCCATAGGGAAAGTTCTGTGCTAGTTTTGAGGGAATGAAGCAAGCCCTGGCTCTCAAGGGACTTAGGTTCCCACCCTAGTTAGGCAGATGGGTGACCTACAATGTGGCATTTCCCAGCAGGGCCACCATACCTTGCCAGCTGGAAGCGCAGTGTAGTTCGAGGGTGGTACATCTCCAACGCAGCGATGAGGTCGAAGGCTGATGGTGCTAGCATGGTGACGAGCGAGACCACCACACTCACCTGCCGAGAGAGGGCAAGCCAGACATGAGTTCCCCAGGCTCCACATCTCAGCCTCACTTACTTCCCATTTGGTTTTAGCCTAATATCTGGTCAGTGGGTATTCAGAGACTCACACAGTTCTTATATGGAAAACCTGCCCCAAACTCTGCTTATTAGCTGCTTTCAAAGGGCCACTACCACAGTGTCATGTGTTCACTCCTTTTAGGAATGCTCCTCAATCTGAAGACACTCATACATGCCATTTGGGACTCACTATCATTTCTGCCACATCTTCCAATTACCATGTCATTCTATTTCTATTTCCTTGACCTTGGATGGAAGATGGAAATAACTGCAACAATTAACAATAGAGAAGGGAAGGCTGAGAGGTAATTTAATGTTCTTTCTGTACATGGAAGATTAATTATCTAGAGAATTGTGCCTGGCTCTTGTTTCTTTGTACTGATGCAAAAGAGAAGATTTAGCTCATGTGTGACCTAAGAGAAGAAATAATTTCTGAATATATCTTTAAAAGTTTATCTATCTGTAAACACACAAGCACATATTTACATAACCCACTGAATTAACATAAAATAGAAAGAGGTACAGGAAAAGACTGCCTAATGTAGTGTCAGATTTTGAGAAATTATCATACATTGAGGATAAACTGGTAAGCATCATATGGCCTACATTTTGTTTTTGTTTTTGCTGAGGAAGGTTTGCTGAGCTCACATCCACTGCCAGTCTTCCTCTTTTTGTATGTGAGCTGCCACCACAGCATGGCCACTGACAGATGAGTAGTGTAGGTCCGTGCCTGGGCACTGAGCCCCAGCTGCCAAAGCAGAGTGTGCCCAACTCAACCCCTAGGCCACTGGGCTGGCCCAACACTTTGTTTTTTAAATCCCACAGATGATCATCATTTTCACAGAAGTGGTCTGAGAGGTGGCGTTTGTGCTATTTCTGTCTTTCAAATATTTACAGGTAAATTGAACCAAGCTTTCTGGACAACAGTCCTGTAATAAATATTAAAAAGTATATTTGCCATCTATACTGAATGATTTAAATCGACATACGTCTTCTTTCATTTGTGAAAGGACTTATTACCTTGTCCTTTCTAGGCTCACTCTAAATTTTATTTATAAGGAGTGAGGAGAATTTATAGGAGAGGTGTGTATGTACAACGTGCAATTATTTTGAGAGCTGTATCTATTACCAAGTGGGTACTAGAGATGGTACTAATAAAGTTCCTGATTCTTTCCAATGACTTTTAAATAAAAATTGCGATGTGCCTAA